TGCCTCACCAATTCGACCAACAAGATGCAGGAGCTGATCCTGCCCCTGTTGGAGGAGAGCAGCGTGCTCGGCGCGTGGGGAGAGAACGCCAGCAGAGTTGGGATTGGTAGAAGAGGACTATAAAGGAGCAGAGAGACAACATGCAGGAGGAACATCTGAAGAACCCCTGATTGAGCTGGCCGGTGGTGTGCCGCTCCTCCGCAGAAGCAGGGAAGCGGCGGGGGTGCCGCCCCTCCACGTGGGCCTTGGGGAGCGGCAGCTAATCCTGGAAGAGCCGGTGAAAAAAAACAGCCCAGGGTTTGGTGTCGTTCCTCTGCGAGTGGGGGAGCGACAAAAGAGAATTGAAAATGAATCTTGATGTGAATGGAAGGGGGGAGGGAGAGGGAAAGGGGAGGGTTGTGGGTGGGAGGGAAGTTATCGGGGGGTGGAGCCATTGTAATCCATAAGCTGTACTTGGGAAATTTATATTCATTAAATAAAGTTAAAAAAAGAAATATTGTACTATATCTCAAAAATGTACATATATTTCTGAGTAATATAAAATTTTCAAAATAAACAGAAAGGAAGGAAGACCACTAGGGAAGCCTTATTTTCATTTTGTTTAAAAGTCACAGGTATGAATGTCAATGCACAGATAAGATAAACACCATCTGCTGGACATAAATGTGGATGGCCAGCTCCTGCCTGGACACAATCAAACCTTAATCAGGGAGACTCACTTGGTCTGAAAAATTAAGAAATGCTTCTAATAGTTAGACAGTCACGGCTATGGGTATGTCCATGATTCCCAAGACTGCCATCATTAGGAAGTTCTTGGGTTAGAGGCCACACATAAAGTATGTGACTTCCTATTGAATAAGGGTCTCCCTGTGTCAGGTTCACCTTGCCAAACACTTCCTGCAGCCACTCCTTCAAGGTCTTGTCACTAACAGGGTACTGTCCAGCAGATCAGCATAAGTTCCAGCTCCAGGTTAATGCCTCCCTGTCCCAAATATACACAGAACCATGTGTCTCCCCCTGGGACCATGTAACTCTGATGGGGACGTCCTTTCACACCTGAGGTGCTGCAACATCCCTTCACTTTAAGTCCATGTGTGTCCTAAAAGGTGAGGTGAATCTCTTAAAGGCAGCATATAGTTGGAATTTGGTTTTTCACACCTATGTTCAGCCACTTTATGTCTCATTAACTGAAGAATTTAATCAATTTACAGTCAAAGTAATTGTGAATAGGTAAAGACTTGCTATGGCTACTGTGTCATTTGTTTTCTGATTGTTTTATAGCTTTAAATTGAAGACAGATACGAAGCATTCTTCCCTGAGCCTGACTTTTCCTAAAGTAAACTGAAATTTCCTAGTTCCTTCACCTGTTTCTCCCATGAGTCAGGAGTCGATTTCCTACTGAGAACTCTTTCCTGTAGAATGCTCCTTAGAGTTCAGGGTGGGCACTGTTTTGAGACATGACTTAGATGTTCTTTATGTAACTGACATTCCTTTGCATGGGAACAAGAAACAATAGCCTTTCTGAGGATTCATGCAGCAGGTGAAGTTTTGGAAGGGAATGAACCAGGTTTGTGGATACAAACAAAAGCTACTGCCCCCAGTTCTGGCCCCCTTTTATGTATTCAGCTGTCCTTGAGTAACCTCTATAAGCTGGCAGTTACAGCCATGTACTCAAAATACTTCTAGAGAAGACCTGGTAGCTGTGCCATAAAGGACTTACAGGGTTTCATTGCTATGGCAAATTCACATAGAATATTAATTCTCAACCTTTCAGGTTCAGAAAGCTGATCTCATCAACATGTCAAGATTAAAGCCATATGTTAGGATAGACTCAAATAAGATAAGATTAGAAGATGATGTGTAAAACCAGATTGCCATATTTTTTATGAGAAACTATTGTCACAGCCCTGGACTACCTACGTTCTCTAGATGATCACCTAAAGGCAGATCAGCACAGGAAATGAAGCTTGATCAACTGTTGCCTAAAAGTCAAGGAATCAGATCCAGCATGGGTGAGTATACTGAGTTTTTAATGGCATGAGGTTTAATCCAAGGCTCCATCTCTAAAGGATTCTCTTGTCAATGCATGGGCTCTAGTCTGTTGTCCACATGCTGCCACTCACTATGTCTGTATTTTGACAGAAACTGCTAGTGCTCACAACAATCTCCTCATTTCCTTTTTTCTTCGTAGACTAGATTTCTCATCAACAGATTCTGGAAGCTAAGTGAACCTTGGGTAAGACCAATTTAAAAAAAAATACACCACATCTAAGCACATCATGGTCAAAAGGGTGAAGATCAAAGAAAAAGAAAAAGCTTTGAAAGCAAGCAGAAGGGGGGAAAGACACATTACTTGAGAAAAACCAACAATCAGAGTAACAGTAAGATACTCATCAGAAACAATGAAAGCCAGAAAACGGTGAAATGACATTTTTAAAGGGCTGAAAGAAAAAAAGAAACAAACTAGAATTCTATATGTGATGAAAACACTGCTCAAAAATGAAAGGACAAGGTCCGGCACTATGGCGTGGAAGGTTAAGCCACAGCCTGCAGGGCCAGCATCCCATATGAGTCCTGGTTGCTCCACTTTCAATCCAGCTCCCTGCTAATGCACCTTGGAGAGCAGCAGATGGTCCAAGACGTTGGGCCCCTGTACCCACCTGAGAGACCAAGAGAAGGCTCCTGGCTCCTGACTTTGGCCTGGCCCAGGCCATTGCAGCCATTTGGAGAATGAACCAGCAAATGGGTGATCTCTCCCTCTCTCCCTCTCTCCCTTTCTCCCCCTCTCCCTCTCTCCCTCACCTCTTCTCTGTTATCTCTGCTTTTCAAATAAATAAAATAAATCTTTTTTTAAAATGAAAGAACAGCCGGCGCCGCGGCTCACTAGGCTAATCCTCCGCCTTGCGGCACCGGCACACCAGGTTCTAGTCCCGGTCGGGGCACCAGATTCTGTCCCAGTTGCCCTCTTCCAGGCCAGCTCTCTGCTGTGGCCAGGGAGTGCAGTGGAGGATGGCCAAGTACTTGGGCCCTGCACCCCATGGGAGACCAGGATAAGTACCTGGCTCCTGCCATCGGATCAGCACGGTGCGCTGGCCGCAACGCGCTGGCCGCGGTGGCCATTGGAGGGTGAACCAACGGCAAAGGAAGACCTTTCTCTCTGTCTCTCTCTCTCACTGTCCACTCTGCCTGTCAAAAAATTTTTAAAAAATGAAAAAAAATTTAAAAATGAAAGAACGGTAAAGAGCTTTTCAGAAAAGCTGAAGCTGAACAAATTTGTTGCCATCAGCTTGCACTGCAGAAAATACTAAAAGAAGTCTTCAAGTTGAAGGTCAATGATCCATTTTTTGAGTGGAAAAAGCAGAAATGAAAGTGTAGCAAAATAAAATGTAACTAAATAGAAAGATTTTGCATACATTTCTTTCAAAATTATTGACTATTTAAGGCAGAAATGCTATAGGATTTATGGTGTATGATATAAATATAGGATAAAAAGGAATTCAAAGAAGGGAGAAGACATGAAAATACATCATTACAAGGTTCTTATGTGAAACGATATGACATTAATTCAGAATAGATGAAGCATGTGAAGGAGGCACATTGCAATCTTAGAACAAGCACTAAAATAATTTCTGGAAACATAACTGAAAGCTAAAAAAGAAAAAACTTAAGTAGGATAAAACACAGTAAAAGAAAGACAAAGGACTAAATCACACAAACAGAAATCCAGGCCTGTCAGTAGTTGCATTATTGTCAAACAGCTTCAACCCTTCAGTTAAAGGGATTATCAGTCTGGATTGAAATATGCAAGATCCAATTCTGTGCTGCTTACACAATCATGAAAAGACATGGACAAGATCAGGGTAAAATTATGGAGAGAAAAAAGATACATCCCAAAATACCACTGAAAAGAAAAGTACCTTGTCCGAGAAGTGCACTGTTTATGTTCTAAGTTTTTGGCTACTTTGGAGACGAGGTAGTGTCTCAGCAGAACTCTCACTTCCATTTTTCTCATGTCCTACTACCATCTCTCCTAACATGAGTGCCGTTGAGAGCTCTTCCTTTTTTTTTTTTTTTAGAAAAAAATTTATTTATTTATTTATTTGAGAGGTAGAGTTACAGTGAAAGGGAGAGCCAGAGAGAAAGGTCTTCCATCCACTGGTTCACTCCCCAAATGGCCACAATGGCCGGAGCTGCACCGATCCAAAGCCAGGAGCCAGGAGCTTCCTCCAGGTCTCCCACATGGATGCAGAGGCCCAAGGATTTGGGCCATCTTCTACTGCTTCTCCAGGCCATAGCAGAGAGCTGGATGAGAAGAGGAGCAGCAGGGACTAGAACCCGGCACTCATATGGGATGCCAGTGCCGCAGGTGGAGGGTTAACCCACTGTGCCACGGCGCCGGCCCCAAGAGAACTCTTCCTTCTAGTTTGCATGTGTTTTACTGTAAAGTACCACATCTTCTGCCTATTTTGATATTTTTCTTCTATACTTTTAGAAATTTTACATATTAGATTAGCTATTTAATTGTGGTAAACTTGCATGTTGCAATTATTTTTCTCAAGTTTACATCCATATTTTAAACTTGTTTAAAACTGGAGTCTGACATATGAATTTTTATGTAAAAAATTTATTTATGAATCCTTTAATATTCCTAAATTTAGAGTCACTGCTAGGAAGGCTTTCTCCACTCTGGGTTTATAAAAAACTCTACCCACATGTATTTCTAGTATATGTATTTCTAGTATATGTATTTCTACTATATATATAGTATATATATATATATAGTATTTCTAGTATATTTGAGTCTCTTACCTACTTGAATTTTATTCTGGTGACTCATGTGAAATATGACTCCAGCTTGATATTTTAACAAATGTCTGTCTAGTTGTCAGGATATCAAAATGTCTACCTTTTCCCCAATTAGTCGAAATGTCTCCTTATTTTAAAACTGCATTTTTGTATATACTTGGGAATATTTCTGGATTTTTCTCGCCTGTTTCATTGGTCTGTCTTACTATTTCTGAGTCAACCCCAAAATGTTTTAGTAAAGAAATTTCATAGAATGTTTTTAATACCTGATAAAGCTAACCCTCTCTGCTGTTGCTCTTTCTTTTCTTGTTGTGGTTATTCTTTGATGTTTACTTTCCATGTGAATTTTAGAACTTCTGCAACATTAGGAGAAAAACTTGTTGGCATTTTTGTTGGAATCACATTAAATGTACACATTAGATTGAAAAGCATTGGCATCCTAACAATATGGATTCACCTTATCTAGGAAGTAGGAATATATTTCTATTTCTCAAGTCTATTTTACACCTTTAAAGTTTCCCACGAATAAATTTTTTACAATTTTGATTAAGTTTTTCCTAAGAAAGGTTTATCTTTTTTGTTGCTTTTGTAATACATTTTCTTTCTAATTATATCTTTTTTTATTTTATTTTTTGACAGGCAGAGTGGACAATGAGAGAGAGAGACAGAGAGAAAGGTCTTCCTTTTGCCGTTGGTTCACCCTCCAATGGCGGCCGTGGCATCGGACCGGCGGCCGGCGCACTGCGCTGATCCGATGGCAGGAGCCAGGTACCTATCCTGGTCTCCCATGCGGGTGCAGGGCCCAAGCACCTGGGCCATCCTCCACTGCACTCCCTGGCCACAGCAGAGAGCTGGCCTGGAAGAGGGGCAACCAGGACAGAATCCGGCGCCCCAACCGGGACTAGAACCTGGTGTGCCGGCACCGCAAGGTGGAGGATTAGCCTAGTGAGCTGTGGCGCCAGCCTCTAATTATATCTTAAAGTTGGCTGTTATTTGTATGTGTAAAGACCACAGATTTTCTGTAAATTTTGAAAAAATCTCAACTCTATAGAAAAAATCACAAGTACGACACAGACAAACTTATTTTCCTGAACTATTTGAGAGTAAAGGTACTAACATGGCGCTCCATTATTTCCTAAACCCTGAAGTATATAATTTTTACAAACACGGATGCTCTTGACATAACCAATATAACTATCAAACTCAGTAAATTAACATCAATATAATCATTGCTTTCTAATTTTTAAACAGTGAGAAGTCTGACATATTTGCCTTAACATATCTATTTATTCAATTACTCACCACAGAGATTTCTATCACAAGTCTTTCATCACCACCAACACTCTTCTCCTATGATGTTCCCTCCTCTCACCCCAGGCCTTGACCCTCCACAGCCAGTAAGCAGTCTCTTTATTCCAATGTCTGCCTTACCCAGCCCAGCCTGCTCTGAGGAATTGTACCAGACCATGTCCACTGACAGAGGCCAGTCACCCTCATTGAGCTCAGAAACTATGTATTAGACCAGCCTCCTGCATCTTCCTCACCCTAATTGGGCATCCACTCACTGTGCCGCTCTCCTACACACATGCTCTTCTCACCTCATGTGTGTTCTGACATCCAAGTCCAAATGCCCAGTGCAGGGTGTCTGAGCCCATATGGAATGAGGAGGATGTATACGTGTAAAGGAGGCCTGGTGTGGGCATCTTCCTCACCCCACCCAGGCATGGACACCCTACTCTGAACTGCTGTGACTCCCTACACTGCCTGGATCACTGTTGACAGCACAACTTTGCTTCTTTAACTAAGACTTTGTTACTATTTAAGAGAATTGGGATCAAGATGTTGAGAACCAACTTCTAGTTCATAAGTCTCCTTTTGTTTCCCTTAGGAAGACATTGTCATATATTTTGCTTAGCAAATGGTACAAGATATAAGAAATGTAATTCTCTGCACAACAGTTTGAAAATACTACTTGGGTTCCCTGGCATTGGTTCCCACTTGACATGGTATCAATTATTCATTAAAGAGAACATATTTTGGGGTATTTAACCCTCTTCTATTTTCAGTGCACACAGATTAAACAAAGCAGACCCCAGCCTATCCATTGGCATTGACCAATCAGTGTTTTCAACTCCTTGAGCCATTTCTACTTGTACCCAAAGCAGTGTGACAGAGTGTACATTCCTACATGACTGCAACTGTGTATACCCCATCCCACCAGCTCTTCTTAGAGCAAGACTTCAACGCTCCTCCCACTGAGAGGTGAGCTCTAGGCTCCTTCCTTCTAAATCTGGGTGAGAGCTTTAGATTGCTCTGAGCAATGGAATATGATACAATGTATACCATGACTTCAAATCTAGGTAATAAAAAGGACATAGCTTCTGCCTGGCTTATTCTTTAAGGGTTTGATCATCAACCAACATGCAGTAAAGAACAATTATATGCAGTGAGAAAATATGGAGAGACCCTAGTGGGGAGGAAATGAAGCCCATAGATGATAGCTAGTATCAATCGCTGATGAGTGAGTGAGTGAATGAGACTTCAGAGGGTCCTGAAGATCCCAGTCTCCAGGCTTTTATCTACCCCTGCTGACACCAAGGAGAACAGAGACAAAACTGACCAAACTGCAGATTCATGGTCAAAGGATATGTTGTCTTAAACCACTCAGTTCTTTGGCAAATGAAACGCATCTTCTTCCCACACTGTTCAGCCCATTCCTCTAACCATGGCCTTTACCTATCATATCCAAGACTGATGATTTTGTCTCCTCCGTCAGAGCCAAACAATCTTATCTCTAATGTCTCTGACTCTCCCATGAAAAGGGGCCTCAATAAGCAATCATACTGACAGTCTCAAGAGAGTCAAGAAAATGAAGGTGTTCTTGTGTCTATCATGATGATACCTAGGTTTTTGAGGTTCAAGAACCCACTAGTGGCTAATGCAGTATTTCCAACCACTTGTGGCCTTGGGATCCTGTTTTCTGCTAGTGTGGTTACTGCTGGGTAGTCAAGAGCTATTGGTGTTCATGTGGTTACCGGTAACTTCTTACTCAACTCAGGCCTGAGGACTTAATCACGCAAGGCTGACATAGTCTCATCTGATAAATCCCCACAAAACCAGCCAATGCTGCGGGTTTGAAGACAAAGACAGACAAGCAGCTGTTTTCTGAGCAGCCTTCCCAATAAGATGCATCCACTCCTGCTCCTGTTGGCCTTTCTTCTGTGCCTCAGAGCTGAGGCAGGTAAGTGACTGCCCCCATGAAGAGAGCCCTAGCTCCATTCCACATGCTGCTCCATTGCTATACCCTGGCCCTGGTCCAACTCCAGGAACTTTCTGAACCCCAGGTGCAGTCTTCCCTAAAGACTGGCAAGTCAGATGCTCATCAGAAACCCATTAGGAATAACAGAGCTACTCTTCATAAGTTGCTGTCTCCCCTCAAGCCCTGCCCTGTCATCTGGAGAGTGGATTCTTTTACAGAAGCATCTGGGAAAATGTTAGAAGCTGTGAATGAGAAATAACTGATTCCCCAAGAAATTGTAGCTTGAAAAAAGGAACTGGCACGGGGCCGGTGCCGCGACTCACTTGGTTAATCCTCCGCCTGCGGCGCCGGCATCCCATATGGGCACCAGGTTCTAGTCTCGGTTGTTCCTCTTCCAGTCCAGTTTTCTGCTGTGGCCCAGGAAGGCAGTGGAGGATGGCCCAGGTGCTTGAGCGCCTGAACCCGCATGGGAGACCAGGAGGAAGCACCTGGCTCCTGGCTTCGGATCAGCACAGTGCGCCGCCCTTAGCAGTCATTTTGGGGGTGAACCAACAGAAGGAAGACCTTCCTCTCTGTCTCTCTGTCTCTCTCTCACTGTCTAACTCTGCCTGTCAAATATTTAAAAAAAGAAAAAAAGGAAAAAGGAACTGGCTTCTGTATCAAAGTAAATTCCACTAAATTTCTAATTCAAAATAAAACATACCCTCAACCTTTATCCCTTTCTCCAAACATGCCATTCCCAAGACGTAGGACACAGTTGACCTCAAAGTTGATATCCTGGACCCTTTAACGCTTGTTTTGGTTCAGCTTCATTTCTCTCTGGTCATTTTTCAGTTACCGAAGGGTACAATGGCTTTGTCAGGCCAACCTCTTCCTCCAACTCAGAGTTTCTCCAGTGCAACCCACGCAAGCCTCACCCAGAGGCTAACTGGGAGCATTCCTTCATGCATCCAAGACACTGACAGCGTACCTACTTTGTGTCAGGCTCTTGCAGATAAACATCAAACACAACTCAGCATCTTGAGCTCACTTTGAATATTACAGACTAGCAAAGGCTCAGTGGGCTCTGGGAAACAAAAGGAGAAAGAGAATCTGGGAGCGTCTGAAACAGTATTCTTCAGGACCTACGCCAGTGCTTGTTCTAAAGTTTGTCTGTCAACATAAAATTTTGAAGCACAAATTAAGGAAAAACGACCACTCTTCTCTTCATCAGAGAGAGAATCAGAGTCTCGTGGGTCACCGTGCAAGCCAGAGATGCTGCCCAAAGAATCTGTTAGGCCCCCTTCTTGGTTGCTGCCAACTGCTATAGGCTCAGCTATCTACTACTCCCCCCACTCTGCCCTCCCTATAGTTTATTCCAGTCTCCCCTTCCCCAGCTTTCAGCTCTATGAGCACAGAAGGCAGAACAGAATTTTTCTTCCAGGGAAAATCATTGGAGGCCATGAGGCCATACCTCATTCTCGTCCCTACATGGCATTTCTTCAGATCAAGACTCTTTTTCAAAAAATAACCTGTGGGGGTTTCCTGGTACGTGAAGACTTCGTGCTGACAGCAGCTCACTGCAGGGGAAGGTAAGCTCATGGCAGGGTCTCCTACTATTCTATGGACACTCCATGGGGAATTCTCTTTTTAGAAGCTGTGAATGTAGGCCATCTGTTAACACAGAAGTGTTCAGAGGATAGGTAAACTTTGGATGGAAAGGAAGAGCTCGTTCCAAGTGGCACATTAAAGACAGAAGGAGCATTCTAGTTAAAGGGAGATGGGAAGGAGGTCAGTGCTGTGCCTGGAGCCCAGAGTGCAGATCTGAGAACTCGAGACATTTTTTTTTCTTGGAGATAGTCAACCTCTGTGCAAGGCTAAGAACCTACATCTGCTGCAGGAGCTACCATCCAGTTCTGGTTGCCAAGAAGTGAAGGTCACAGAAATGCTTGATCTCAGTCCACCCATCTCCTGTAACTCCTTTCAACTCAAGTTCTGCCTTGCCTTGGGCTGTCTGTTTTCCTACAAGGCTTCTGGGCTGTGTCCCCTGTGACTCCTTTTCCCTCTAATGTCTCTTTACAGTTCAATGAAGGTCATCCTAGGGGCCCACAACATCAAGGAGCGCGAGAGCTCCCAGCAGGTCATCCCCGTGAAAAGAGCCATCCCCCACCCAAACTATCAACGTAAGAAACCTCACTTAAATGACATCATGTTACTCCAGGTAAGACATGTCAGTCCCCAGAGGCTTGAATCATTCAACCCTGAGGTCTCTGAAGCCCCATGTCCTCATTCCCAACTTTCCTTCCCAACATGACCCTTTCACTTGTCCCAGGCCCATGAAGAAGGCAACTCTGTGGCTGTCTCAAATCTTTGTGGGTCACTGGTTGATTAGAATTCCCTCCTTCTGCCTGCAGTTAAAGAAGAAGGCCAACCTGACTGACAAAGTGAGCCTCCTCAGGCTGCCCACGAAGACAGCCCAGGTGACGCCAGGGATGGTGTGCAGTGTAGCTGGCTGGGGGTCAACTGGTGTGAAAAAAACCACAGTGAAACTGCATGAGGTAGAGGTCAAAATCCAAACGGACCAGGAATGTATGTTTTACTTCAAAAGCTATTACAATGAAAGCGTCCATATTTGTGTTGGGGACCATAACATCAACAAGTCTTCTTCACAGGTGAGATCATCAAAACTGTCCATCCCCTGCCTTGGGCACAGTAGACCTCTGTGGAGATGGTGGGAATTAGCCCATTCCTATGTACTCAGCCTTCTAGCAGTCAAGTCTGATTCTCTCTCCCTGCAGGGAATGAGCAACTGACAGGCAGAGGCTACTGTGGGGAGGGAAGGCATATCAGGTCCCAGTTGACTGGAGGGAATAGTCAGGACCTTGGCTGGAGCTCTAGTTCTGAGGGATGTCACAAGGCTTGCCTTGATCCTGCTCTCACACATACAGCCCACTACAGAGAACACCCATCCCCTGAGGAGGTGGTGGGAGGCATGACCAGGAGGAGACCAATTCAGCTTTCTTTTCTCTGTCCACAGGGGGACTCTGGAGGTCCCCTCGTGTGTAATGATGTGGCCCAGGGCATTGTATCCTTTGCAAAGCAAGATGGGACCCCACCACGTGTCTATACCAAGATCTCAAGCTTTATGCGCTGGATAGAAGAAACAATGAGATCCTTCAAGCTGCAAGGGCCAGACTGAAATGCCTCCAGGATTGATCTGCCCTTCCTCTTCTCTGGGGCTGAAGCCACAATGCATTGGGTGGAAGTGGTGGTGGGAAACCTGCCAAGTACTTAATAAACTTCTAGAGTGGAAGTTGTTGATGCCTCCTTTATTCACCAAAATGACACCCCATAAGCACCTGCTGTGTGGCCAGCAGCCACTGGTTCACACTTCTGATTCAGTTTATGCTTTAGCTTTCTTTATACCCCACCTTGAAAACCATGGTATATTGATACCAGCTCCAAATGGACCTCCCTAGTGTGGGCTTCCCCAGGCAGGCTCAGTGTAAGCTTCCTCAAGGACAGGGAGACACTGCCCCAGGGGGAAAAATGATTCTCTCTCTTAGCTCATCCATGTCACCCTCTCACCTTATTCCCTACCTACACCCCTTCCCTGTCACACCCCAGAGCTGATATGGCCACATAAAAGAATCTGACTTGGAAGGGGGATTAGTTAAGGAGCCTCAAGTTGGGGGCTACTTTTCCACTCTAGCAAAAATGGGTGGGAGTCTCTCTGGCAAAGGTGTGCCTTACCCCATGTAGGGCTCCCTCTTCAAATCAGGGCAGCTAGCAACTGGCAGCATGCCAAGTTCCAGGAAGGCCCTTCAGCACTCCCAGACCCAGCTGAATGCCTGTTGCAGCCTTGTCTTGAGTTCAGAGCCTAATGTACTTCCTGGTCTCCTGGAAGCTCATCTCCCTACCTCCTCAAATGACCTGAAGGGTGCTCTCCCATCTGGATCTGAGCCAGCCTCCCCCTGTCTGTCACTGTCTAGGATGCCCAGAATGCTAGGAGGAGCAACCTGCACTGTTCATCCCAGTGATCTCAGCAATTAGCCTACCCTCTGCCCTGTCCCGGGAGGAAGAGGAAAGCAGGGTGTGTGCTCAGAACTCAGGGCTACCCCTTTCACGTGGACAGGACATCAGTCCTTTGCAGCCACATGATTGTCCTTCCTAAGCTCAGAGCCCACCAACTGATAGGTCACTCAGCAGCCTGAGACCTCCCAGCCCAGCTCTTTGGGTCGCTCCTGAACAGCCTGACCTCTGGACTAGGATTCTCCGATCAATACCCTGGGCTGGAGTGACCTTAAAGTAGAGAGGCTGCTTCTCCACATCACGACTGAGCAGCACCGTTCTGTGATCACCCAATGCATCAGTGCCTACGGGGCACCTCTGCATGCTGTGCTGCAGGGATACAGCAAAGCAGCCCCGCCAGCATGGAACGTGTGTGCGTTTCTGGTTTGCCATGTCACCTTGCCACAGAGCTGCTTGGCCTGGATCTGGCTTTGAAATCCACAAGAATCAAAGTCATCTTGTTTTAAAAATGGTGATACTCACTTGAATTTCATCTGTTACATGTATCACAGTAGGTTATGGGGTTTTTAGAAGGAACAGGAGGTTTTCTCGTCCTGTCAGGACTCAGGAGAGCTCCCTCCTGAAAGGGGAAGTACAGATGATAAGGGCACAGAATGTGAATAGATCTGTCTTGATTTGATTTGCATGCAGTGGGTATGAGCCTTGGTACATAAATTCAGATATATAAAAAATGCTGTATCTATGGGCATTTGGTGTACCGGTTAAGACACCACTTGGGACACTTGTAACCTGTATCTAAGTGCCTGGGTTCAAGTCCTAGCTCTGCTTCCAATTCACTGTACACCCTGGCAGCCAAAGAGTGGTGCCTCAAGTATTTGGGTCACTGCCATCTGAATGGGAAACCTGGATTGAATTTCTGGCTCCTGACTTCGACCTGGTCCAGCCTCAGCTGTTGCAAGCATTTGAGGAATAAACCAGTCGATGTAAGATCACTCTCTGTTTCAAATGCCTTTTACATAGATGAATGAATAAATAAATAAATAAATTTTCATCTTTAAAAAGTGTTCTATTTTCCCCTAAATTGAACTGGGTCCCACTGTAAGCCTGGGCTGACCTAAAATGTAATTCCAGTTATTACCAAGGCCTAGACACACCCAAAGTTGAACCCAATTAGAGAGGTTTCCATGTACCTGAAAAATGGAGGAAAATATTCAGATCCTCCATGAGTGATGCTCAGTTTCTATTACTGTGTGCCACGCCAGCCTCATGAGGTGTATACAGAGAGAGGCCCTGGCCGATCTGCACACTGCTTCAGAGTGAAACACGGGCTTCAGGCATGAGGCAACACTTCTTCTCGCTGCCCCACCCCTGACACCCTACCTCACGCCTTAGACTTGAGAGATCATGGTATCCTTGAAGGTCTGTCCCTTCATCTCTTTGCTCTCAAAGGCACCCTAGAGCATAATCTCTTGGGCTTTAAACAAATACAGGAAGAGCACATGACAACACACAGCTTCCAGTTCTGATCTTAAAAACAAATTGATAAGCCACAAAAATAAGAACGTGGCTTCCTGCAAGGTACAAAAAGAACAAAATGCAACAAGCAAAAGGAAAATTCATATATTTCCAAAGGTTGCAAACTCAACACATACATTCTCAGGTTAGACGTTGTGGATTTTGTGGCTAAAAAGTAGGGAAATGAGTGTCACAGACTCAGAGTCTTCTTCAATGAAAGAAGAAACTAAAATCCAGAAAGTTGAAGTGCCTGGCCCAAGGTCACACAGCCAAGGCATCACAGACTCCAGGCTGGGCCCAGACTTCTCAGCATTTGAGAAAGTCCTTTTCAACCCGGGTCTGAGTCCTCGACTCCTTCTCAGGGCCAGAGGCCTGCAAGATCATCTGACACCCGCCGCATGCTGATTTCCCAGCCTTGCATCCAGTGGGATTGCCAGCCTCTGTCCAGGAACACTCCCTGGAGAGGAAGCTCCTGGGCTCACCAGTGACCTGCTGTGCAGCAACACCGTCATAAGCAGCCTACCTTGTGAGAGCTGGGTGAAGACATGGGAAGTCCTCAGCTCATCCCTAACTGAAGCAATCTTGGAATCATGAGTCCCAGCTTACAGGCAAGAGTTCTCCAGGCCTAGGGAAAATGTATCTCACCCGCATACTCCGGAGAACTGTGTCCTTCTGACCCTGACTTCCACTAGATCCTGTTACCTATCCCAAAATGAGTCTAATCCTTCCCAGAGATGCAGAGTGGGCCAGCTGAGCCAAGACGGTCTAAGTGTAGGTAACCGATCTCTCCTCATTTCCATCAGCCAGCACAACAGGGAAGCTGAACCAGAAACAAAACCACCAATGCTCAGATAGCTCAATAAACCCTGAATCACACAGGTGAGGAAACATTACCCCCAACAACACAGCAAGGAAACAATAAATAATACGTAACGTCAACCAACTATGAACTTTTCAAGGACAGGAGTCACATCTCTCATATCCCTGCATGTAGCTCACTAAATAATTATACATTCGTCTATCAGAATGAAGAGTCACGAGCCGAGGAAAGCGGATGGTGAGGGCTGTTACTGGGGGGCTTTGGTGGTTCAGCCTTTCTGCCGGCTGCAGCCACAGCCTCCACAGCCTCCACCTTCTCGTTCTTTGTTTCGCTTTTGGCTTATGACTCAGAGGCAGGGGAGCTGGTGCAGTGATGGTGTCATTTTCTCCTAAACCAGAGACCTTTGACAAACCACTTTGCCTGATGACACCCATCAAAACCAAGAAGGACCAGCCTAGGAGGTCTGTGCAGTCAGTGAGCCCACCCTCCCTTCCTCCCCTTCCGGGGCTCTGTGTCTGGGAGGAGGAAACACCAGCAGCTCCAACCAGGGCAGCCCTCCCGGGAAGATGCTGCGGCTCCTGCTCCTGTGGCTCTCGCTTCTGCCTCCTGGGACAGGGACAGGTAGGTGAGCATTTATCCCAGAGGCCTGAGCCCATCTCACAAAACCCCCTGGACTCCTGATGCTTCTGCCTAGCACTGGTCAGAAAGTTACTCAGTTAGAGTCCAGGAACTTTTTGAGCCCTGGTTCCCATCCCAAACCCAGAATCATAAGTCAGGTGCTAGGTAGACATCCCACAAGGATGGCAGAGGGAGGGCTCCCTAAGGGGTTTAACAGGTGCCAGCCTCACCCTGAACCTCTCCTTCATCACCTCACAGGTGTGTTGTTCTTAGAAAGGTGTTTGGCAGGGGATGTGAAGGTACAAAAGGCAAGCAATTAAAGTCCCTCCCTCCATCCCAGGAAAGGGCAGCTCAGACACCCAGGCTGCAGGCGTTGGGGCTGTCACTGAGCAGGTCATATTACACAGTGCCTCCCACCCTTCAGTCCTGCCCAGGAGGAAAGCCCACGGGGCGAGTGATCTCAGAGCTGGCATCCGCAGCCCTCTCGTTGCCCGGGCTCTACCCTAGGCCTCCCTAGTCCATTTCTGACTGGTGTCTCCCTTTCCCCTTGTCTTCCCAGACCCTTAGCTGCTCCACTGTCATTGGTGGTATCCTCCTCCAACATCCCTGAGGCCCTAAATCCCACCAGCCCTACCCTACAAGTCCCAGCCAGAGACTAACTGAATACCATTCATTCATGCAGCCAAAAAAAAAAAAAGAAAAAAAAAAATTACTGAGAACCCAGGACGTGCTAGGCCTTAGGATATGAGGGTTTTAGAAAATCTAATAAGCTATAAGCTCACAGGTAGATTATCAGAAAATGGCACCATCAGGATATTAGCAAAGGCTCCAAGGGCTCAGGGAAACTTAGAAAGAAAGAAGGAACCAGAGCAGTCATGTGCAGGACCCTCTGGGACTTCACCCCACGAAGACAGAGCAGACCTCTTCCATGTGCCCATGGGATGTGGGACATGGAGGATGAGCACCGGCTGCCCTTCCTCAGAGCAAGGTTCTGAGGCTTGAGTTTCATTAAAGGTTCTTGTGCCTACCAGGAGAGCCACACACAGAGCACAGGCGCTGTAGGGCACCAGAGACCCACCTCACCTCCGACCAGAGCCTCTCCCAGTAACCCTATCTGCCAGGCTTTTCTTACAGAGATCATCGGGGGCCATGAGGCCAAGCCCCACTCCCGCCCCTACATGGCGTTTGTTCAGTTTCTGGCTCAGAGTAAGAAGCGGTGCAGCGGTGTGCTGGTACGAGAAGACTTTGTGCTGACAGCTGCTCACTGCCTGGGAAGGTGAGGCGCTGCCGACGGCCTGCACTGTCTGAGGCTCCACAGGGGCTGGGGAGCTGCCGGGGCCCTGGTGACACAAGCCCAGGAGAACTCATCAGAGAACAGGACTGGGACAATGGAGGGCTGAGGAACAGCATAGGGAAGAGCTGGGGTCTCAGGGGAAAGAGAAAGCGGCACAGTTGAGAGGAGCAGCATCACACTGGCCACATAAAGGAGGGGTGGGCCTGGGAAGTACGCACAAAGGGTTCAAGTGCAAACGCACTCGCACAGTTCCACAATGTTGCCGGCTGGCAAGAGGGAGCACACGGAAGTTCTACTCTCAGTGTTCTTTACTGTCTCCCCGCTCTTCTTGAGAAGCAAGAGGCACAGTCAACTACCGTCCCCTCCACTGCCCCAGCTGTCAGCTGCTCTTCACAGCTCCTGGGCTGTCTCCCCTGTGTGTCCACACCTCCCCATCCCCACTCTCCTCCCTGTGCAGCTCAATAAATGTCACCCTGGGGGCCCACAACATCAAGGAGCAGGAGAGGACGCAGCAGGTCATCCCCGTGAGAAGAGCCATCCCTCACAAGGACTACAACCCCGAGGACTACACCAACGACATCATGTTACTGCAGGTAGGGCACTCCCACTGCTCTTGCTCTCCCTGGTCCTGTTGTTGACTCTCCCACTGTGAGGCTGCTCCTTCCCTCCGTTCCATCCTGGCCACTTGGCCTGTTCTGGTGCTCCAGAAAAGAGGGAAGATGGGGCAGCCTCATCGTGGTGTCCAGGTCCAGATGGTCACTGGCTGAGATGGACTATCTTGCCTCTTTTCCCCACCAGCTGGAGAGAAAGGCCAAGAAGACTAAAGCTGTGCGGCCCATCCGCCTGCCCAGGGGCAAGGCCCGGGTGAAGCCAGGGCAGGTGTGCCGAGTGGCCGGCTGGGGACAGGTTGCCTCAGGCACTTTAGCAACCACACTGCAGGAAGTGGAGCTAACCGTGCAGCAGGACCAGGAGTGCGAGTCCCTCTTCCGCGGCTATTACAGCAGGGCCACGGAGATCTGTGTCGGGGACCCAAAGAAGATGAAGACTGGTGGCAAAGTAAGGTTCCAAGTGTCTAGAGCAGTCCTGGGGAGAGAGGAGGTTGAGGGAGGTCTGGGATAATGGGAGTGGTAACCTCCCCATGCCCTCCATCCTGAGCTTAGGAAGCCCGAGTCTCCCAGGAATCCAGTCTCTAGTGCACCTCCTGGGTGGATCGGCAGTGGGGAGGATCAGTCAGCCCACAGCAGCAGCAGAGCGTCCCTGAGGACTGGAGAGAAAGGCTGGGCTTGGGTGCAGCTGCAAGAAAGGGTCAGGGCCTGGCTGGAGCCATAGCACTGAGAGAGGCAGCAAGGCCTGCCCTGGCCTTGATCTTACACACAGAGCCTCTGACAGAGGCCACTCACGGGGAGGAGGGGTGTCCAGGAGGAGATCAGCTCATTCCTTCCTCTCTCTGCCCACAGGGGGATTCTGGGGGGCCTCTTGTGTGTAGCAATGTGGCCCAGGGCATTTTATCCTATGGACAAAGAAACAGGACCCCTCCAGGAGTCTTCATCAAGGTCTCAAGCTTTCTGCCCTGGATAAAGCGAATAATGAAGGGCCTCTGACAGCAGGCGTAAGACTGACCTTCCTCTGTGGTTGAGCCTCTTTCCTGGGGCAGAAGTGAGAATCCTGTAGGGTGGGCAGTGGGGGATGCAGCATCGTAATAAATGGATCTCCAGAGTGAATATGACGGAAGCCTTATTTATTCATGAACTACCTTCAATACAACTGGCAGCTGTCAATTCTGGCTTTTGCTTCCTTCCCCGCCCCCAACCCTCCCTACTGTCTAAAGCCCATCCATCACACGTCGGGGGTATTTAGTCTGCTGCCAGGGCTGGGTGTGAACACCAGTAATGAAGGACAATCTCTCTCCAAAAACAAAACTCTCTAAATCAACCCCTCCCCCCCCAAAACCTGGCAGAGAATGGAACAAGGCAGTGGAAAGAAGATAACTCCGGGGACCAGAGGTCCAGGGATCATGCGTGGACACTCAGTTCAGTATTTCCAGGGCCCCTCTGTCCAGCAGGCAGTCCTCTCCATAGCCAGGACTGCCTACAGCTGGGAGGCTGAGATGCACCTCCCTCTGCTGCCCCTCAGCCTGTCTCAGGTCTCATTGCCTTCCCCTTGGCCTGGCACAGTGTTCAGTCAAGCTCCTTCCTCCATGCTGGCCTTTCACATCAGCCCTCACTTGATGGACCTTCCAAGTGTTTCTGGTTTGGGGCTATATGGATAATGCAGCCATGGCCTTCCTGGACATGTATCTGATGGAAGTGTGCACGTGCTTCTCTAGGGTGTACATCCAGGCAGGCATGGTATAACCGGTATCCCCCCATGATTTAAATTGGTGCTTCTCTGGTATCCTTTTTTATAGGCTTATGGACCACTTGGATTTCCTGTTTTGAGATGAGGTTGCCCAAGTCTCTGTCCATTATTTTATTGAGTTGATCTTTTCCATATTGATTTCTGAAGTTCTTAATGTAATTTGAATATAAGTCCTTTGTTGATTATGCGTGTTACGTTTACCTTTTCTTACTCTATAAATTGTTTTTTGCTTCTCTCAATTTTAATATTTTAATCCACTAATTCTTTCCTTTATGTTTGTTTACTTTTGTGTATAGTGTCTACAATCTCTACCTATCATGAAGATAATATTACATTGTATTTTCAAGTCTTTATTCACACTTGAGTCCATAATCTACTTAGAATGGATTTTTAGATACTGTGTAAGATAAAGGTCAAGATTCATTTTTCCCACATAGAAAATATGTGTGCCTATAAGACACCAGGAGGACTTCTATATCTTAGCATCTTAACTGGGGAGAAAAAATAAAATAGTGTTTTCTCTGCTGTGATAGGGGCTACAACCTCCATCAAAAATCTGCTTGCACAATGCCAGCCACATGGAGTGCCTTCCTTAATCAGTTATTGTGAAGTGCTATAGTAATTGATTTTCAAATGAAAAGTCCACTATACATTGCTAGGAAACACCTGAGTTACTCATGGCATATCTTTTTGCTTATCAATGGATATGGTTTGCATTTGTATTCAAAAGTGATATTGGCCTGTAATGTTCCTTCCCCATATTGATTTTATTGAGTTTGGCATCAAGGTTGTGCTAGTTTATAAAGGAGATAGATAACAGTCACTCTCCAGAAAAAATCATACAGCCTTCCTTGAAGATTTTCTAGAAGTACATACTTTCCATGGTTATCAAAACTAGAACTCAGATTTTGTGAGTTCAGCACATTCCCTCAGAACAACAGCAGTTTCTTAAATGAGCTCTCATTATTCCTTCAGTTTTGGCCTGATAATCACTACTGCATTGACAGTTCCTTGAGGCTTTAAGCTATTTTTTATTTTTTTAATTTATTTTTATTTGGAAGCCAGAGAGACAGAGATCTCCCATCCACTAGTTCACTCCCCAAGTGTGCACAACAGCCAGGGCTGGGTCTGGCTGAAGCCAGGAGCCTAGATCTCAATCCAGGTCTCCCACAGGGCGACAGGGACCTGACTACTTGAGCCATCACTGCTGCTAATTCTGTGTTTAGCAGGAAGCTGGAACTGGGAATGGAGTTGGGACTCGAACCCATACACTCAGATATGGGAAGCAAGCATCCCACATAGCATCTTAACCACAGGCCAAATGTTACCCTGCTCTTAGACATTTTAAACAGCTTTGGTTTGGTTGCTTTTAGTTGGAATGTTGGCCTGAGATCCTACATCACTGTTAATGAAATCCCCTATCCACATCCTTATTCACAACATTGTGTGCACATTTTATGTATCTTTTTTACATATCCGGCTGTTCTTTTTCCTTTATTTTTAGGTGAGTCTGATGTTTATAAACAAAACAAAATGTTGAAAAAAGCAAATAAATTAAATTTTCCCAAATGCTAAGGCACTAATAAAGCTAATATACTATTTTCTCTTTGTTCCCCTTTTTTTAATATTACTTCTCAGATGCATAAAAAAACTTTTTAGCACATATGCTAAAGAAGAGATTAGCTTTGTATAAAATATAAAGATAAGTGAAACTGTGTAGATTTATGTGTAAGGAGAAGACTCTTTCATAAGTTTTGCAAGTGAGCTTATCATAATTCATAGATTATATCAGTTTTCAATTCTATTGTTTTTGAAAAAACTATACCAAATTACAATGGCTTTCTGTGCATGCACAGATTCCTGTCAAGGTCTTCTTTTTTTTTAACTTTTATTTAATGAATATAGATTTCCAAAGTACAGCTTATGGATTACATTGGCTTCCCCCCCCCATGACTTCCCTCCCACCCACAACCCTCCTCTTTCCCGCTCTCTCTCCCCTTCCATTCTTATCAAAATTCATTTTCAATTTTGTTTATATACAGAAGATCAGTTTAGTATACATTAAGTAAAGATTTCAACAGTTTGCACCCACATAGAAACACAAAGTGAAAAATACTGTTTGAGTACTCATTATAGCATTAAATCTCAATGTACAGCACATTAAGGACATAGATCCTACATGAGGAGTAAGTGCACAGTGACTCCTGTTGTTGACTTTACAAATTGACACTCCTGTTTATGGCATCAGTAATCTCCCTATGCTCCAGTTATGAGTTTCCAAGGCTATGGAAGCCTTTTGAGTTCTCCAACTCTTATCTTATTTAGACAAGGTCATAGTCAAAGTGGAAGTTCTCTCCTCCCTTCAGAATGAGCCGCTGCGCCGGCCATGAAGACCTGTTCTTTCCACTGGGATCTCACTCACAGAGATCTTTCATTTAGGTGTTTTTTTTTTTTTTTCCCAGAGTGTCTTGGCTTTCCATGCCTGAAATACTCTCATGGGCTTTTCAGCCAGATCAGAATGCTTTTAGGGCTGATTCTGAGGCCAGAGTGCTGTTTAGGACATCCGCCATCCTATGAGTCTGCTGTGTATCTCGCTTCCCATGTTGGATCGCTCTCCCCTTTATTTATTCTATCGGTTAGTATTAGCAGGCACTAGACTTGTTTATGTGATCCCTTTGGTTCTTAGTCCTATCATTATGATCAATTGTGAACAGAAATTGATCACTTGGACTAGTGAGATGGCATTGGTACATGCCACCTTGATGGGATTGAATTGGAGTCCCCTGGTATGTTTCTAACTCTACCATTTGGGGCAAGTCAGCTTGAGCATGTCCCAAATTGTACATCTCTTCCCTCTCTTATTCCCACTCTTATATTTAACAGGGATCACATTTCAGTTAAATTTCAACACTTAAGAATAACTGTGTATTAATTACAGAATTAAACCAGTAGTATTAAGTAGAACAGACAAAAAAAAATACTGAGAGGGATAACGTATTAAGTTGTTCATTAACAGTCAGGGCTATGCTGATCAAGTCACAGTTTCTCATAGTGTCCATTTCACTTCAACAGGTTTCCTTTTTGGTGTTCAGTCAGTTGTCACCGATCAGGGAGAACATATGATATTTGTTCCTTTGGGACTGGCTTATTTCACTCAGCATGATGTGTTCCAGATTCCTTCATTTTGTTGCAAATGACTGGATTTCATTGTTTCTTACTGCGGTATAGTATTCTAAAGAGTACCTCATTGTGGTTTTGATTTGCATTTCCCTGATTGCTAGTGATCTTGAACATTTTTTCATGTGCCTCTTGGCCATTTGGATTTCCTCTTTTGAAAAATGTCTATTGAGGTCTTTGGCCCATCTCTTAAGTGGGTTGTTGGTTTTGTTTTTGTGGAGTTTCTTGATCTCTTTGTAGATTCTGGTTATTAACCCTTTATCTGTTGCATAGTTTGCAAATATTTTTTCCCATTCTGTCGGTTGTCTCTTCACTTTCCTTACTGTTTCTATTGCAGTACAGAAACTTCTCAATTTGATGCAATCCCAATAGTTGATTTTGGCTTTGACTGCCTGTGCCTCCCGAGTCTTTTCCAGAAACTCTTTGCCTGTGCCAATATCTTGAAGGGTTTCTCCAATGTTCTCTAATAACTCGATGGTGTCGGGTTGTAGATTTAGGTCTTTAATCCATGTTGAATGGATTTTTGCGTAAGGTGTAAGGTAGGGGTCTTGCTTCATGCTTCTGCACGTGGAAATCCAGTTTTCCAAGCACCATTTATTGAACAGACTATCCTTGCTCCAGGAATTGGTTTTAGATCCTTGATCAAATATAAGTTGGCTGTAGATGTTTGGGTTGATTTCTGGTGTTTCTATTCTGTTCCATTGGTCTATCCATCTGTTTCTGTACCAGTACCATGCTGTTTTGATTACAACTGCCCTGTAGTATGTCCTGAAATCTGGTATTGTGATGCCTCCGGCTTTGTTTTTGTTGTACAAGATTGCTTTAGCTATTCGAGGTCTCTTGTGCCTCCATATGAATTTCAGCATCATTTTTTCTAGATCTGAGAAGAATGTCTTTAGTATTTTGATTGGTATCACATTGAATCTATAAATTGCTTTTGGGAAAACGGACATTTTGATGATGTTGATTCTTCCAATCCATGAGCATGGAAGATTTTTCCATTTTTTGGTATCCTCTTCTATTTCTTTCTTTAAGGTTTTGTAATTCTCATCGTAGAGGTCTTTAACGTCCTTGGTTAAGTTGATTCCAAGGTATTTGATTGTTTTTGTAGCTATTGTTAATGGGATTGATCTTAGCAGTTCTTTCTCAGTCATGGTATTGCTTGTGTATACAAAGGCTGTTGATTTTTGTGCATTGATTTTATATCCTGCCACTTTGCCAAACTCTTCTATGAGTTCCAATAGTCTCTTAGTAGAGTTCTTTGGATCCTCTAAGTAAAGAATCATATCGTCTGCAAAGAGGGATAGTTTGAGTTCTTCCTTCCCAATTTGTATTCCTTTACTTTCTTTTTCTTGTCTGATGGCTCTGGCTAAAACTTCCAGAACTATGTTAAGTAGCAGTGGTGAGAGTGGGCATCCCTGTCTGGTGCCAGATCTCAGTGGAAATGCTTCTAACTTTTCCCCATTCAATAGGATGCTGGCCGTGGGTTTTTCATAAATTGCTTTGATTATATTGAGGAATGTTCCTTCTATACCCAATTTGCTTAGAGTTTTCATCATGAAAGGGTGTTGAATTTTATCGAATGCTTTCTCTGCATCTATTGAGATAATCATATGGTTTCTCTTCTGCAGTCTGTTAATGTGGTGAATCACTTTGATTGATCTGCGAATGT